GTATGTGTGTGTGTGTGTACTCTCGATATCTTAAATAGACATCCTTGTTAAACTTAAGCTCCTAAATAAAGCAGTGGTGAATCCCTGTCTGCACGCTTCTCGCTTTATTTCTCCGTCCTCTCACTAATGCGTAAGTGCTCACTGCCCTCATTCTCTTCTTCTTACTTGTACCTATGACTCAGGCAGATGATAAGCATTCTTATAGACACGAAAAAAAATTTTCGCGAAAAATTCTGCAGAAATCATAGGCAAAAGTCTACTTAAGGTGAAAACATTTTATAATGGGCTCTTCGGAGTGTGCTTATATCCGCAACTGGCTTTAGTGCTGCAAACTTTTTCAAAGTACGCACAATTTCCCTGATATACTCTCTAGTACTATCAAAAACAAGTCCATACAGGAGCTCGATTAATATCAGAATAACCCTGAACTGAAAAACTTTTTGCTCCCCAAATAAGTATAACTACAGCGTTATATTAGAAAATAATAGACCATGTTAGTAACTAAGTTACCGACGAGGGATGTGTGGAAGGGGCCAAGTCGCTGGAGAAGAGGCTCAGTGAATTTTTTCGCCGATAGGTCGAAACTCGAAGGGAAGCTTGGAAGAATAGTTTTCTGCGATAGGGAATCCGAGTCCGAGTTACATCGGATTACGAACGAGCTAAGTCTCGGTTTTACTCTCGCTGGGCCTCTTGACTTTGCGTGCGCTTAGCAGACGCTGGTCAATAACTAGCTCCTGAGCGACTTCGAGATCCTTCTGATCTGTAGTACAACGCAAAAGATCCAATCGGAGAAGTTCTAAAAATCTTGTCGGAAGCTGAATGTTAAGTTGTACTACATTGTCCAGTTCTTGCAAGACTGGGGTTGAAATGTCTCGGTATTCATATATTCGGCAAAACTGGTGAAATTGGTGGAATTGATATTAATTCCCTCAACAAATTTTTGGCAGGCTCAAAGCGTATTGCCGATTTTTGAAGGTTTATCGAACAGAACTCAGAAGTATTAAAATATCACAATGAACCGGCGTTCTCAGCTATCCAAATGGGACCGTTTTTCGATTGACCTTTTACTACTGACTATTGCATCCAGTGCTTTGTGCACGCATCAAAACATAACTTGTGTATCCGGTCTCATAAGTCAGCAAAGCGCCTGATGGTTAACATACAAGTAGTACAAATTTGTATAGGCATTTAATTTCTTTTTTCACCAATTCTGTGGGACATCAGAAATTGTGAGCTCCCAAGTGTTTAAACCTTGATATCGCAAACGCGGAACAATCAAGAAAGAAGTGTTTAACTGTTTCGACCTCATCTTCTTCCATACAGCTTCTACAGCTTGCATCCGGTAAGATTCTCAACCATAGTGTGTGGACTCCGATAAGACAATGGTCTGTTAGAATCCTTACAACCAGGGAGAGGCTAGCATTATTAAGGGCAAATAGTTCACTGGATCCGGACTGGATGGAGTAATGTTATTATTAAATCATAAGATAGAATTGCAATTCCAACATTCTCTCCATTAAGACAAAGTTTTCGACAACAGGTAAAGGGACTTTACTCTCTATATATACTACAGTTTTGAAAACTACTAAGAAAATCAAATTGTTCAAGACTTAATTAATGTTAGTTTAGCTTGGTCTTAGAAACTCGTAAACTAGCATGCCCATCTGATTGTTGAATGGGACCAAAACGAGATGATCACCGATCCCAAATTTCACAAGAAAATTTTGTTCAGCCATGAAACTCACTTTTGTTTGAATGTCGACCATAATGTCACAGTTAATGGAAAACGCTATAGAGTCATGATTATTGACCTATTAGTGTCTCAATTGAAGGATGTTGATGTGGATAACCTTGAGTTTCAGTAAGAAGACGCTATATGCCATACAGCCAACGAAATAATCAATTTATTGAAGGAAACTTTTAGTAAGCGCATTCTCTCGATCGTACAATATTACACCGCTGAACAATTTTTATGCGATTATGTGAAGTCGCTTGTCTACGCGGGTAAGCCTGAGAGGGTTGAAGTTTTGGCGGAGATTTCTCTGACATACGAACCCAATTGCTGCAAAAAGTGGTTAAAAATTGGGTCTCTCGACTTCAATTTATTCGAGCCAGCTGCGGCGATCACTTGCCCGAAACCGTTTTTAAAAAATAATGACCAACTCTTATCTTTACAAAAAGTTTAATTTTTTCTTGAAAACGACATGTGTGCAAAACATTCTTTACTAATCGCCTCATTTATTAGTTATTTGCTCTGTTATATAATAAATTGTGCAATTCTCTTTAATGCTTAATAAAGGGTATGTTTAAACAAGCTATTGGTTGGGCTTAGGTAAAAACTTTATGTGGGATTTTAGTTCTAATAACAAACAAAAAATATTTTTGTATTCGTGTAAAATAATGATTTCACTAAGGCATACATATTTGTGTCTTTGCTAACTTTAATTGAATTCAACATCGAAAACACTCAAAAACAATTTTTTACTGAATTATGAAAAAAAAAAAACTAAATTTCCACATATAATTCGCTATACCTTTAGCCAAGAATATACTCGCTTTTTGCTCTACAGTTCATGACCCCTTTCCTGACACATAAATCGGTTTGCAATCAGTACTCTTTCTTTGCCTTTTTTCCTAGCTTTTCTTTGACATACACAAAAGTTTCGGCAAAATAATACTTAAAAACTTTTGCTGTCATTCTTAAAATGCTTTTTAATGCCACTTGCGACGTCACCGTGTGTATAGAATGCAACGAATGCAACAGGAATATTATGCAACAATAAAAACACGCATTTTTTTATGTTGAGGCGATGCCTGACAACAACTCATATACTAAGGCTATATAACATGTATGTATGCGTATAACTCGGCAACTGCATGTGTGTGTTTATGTGAGCAGATAAATTTGCATGTATGTATGTGTGTGAGCTATTGCTCCAAAAGGAAAGCTTATATGTATATATACTAGGCTGGAGCGAAAAAAAAGTTTTTTTTGCTTAGCCTAGTGGTAAACACTGTAAAAATTTTTTTTTAACATCCTGAGGCGGCGCACTCAGTTCTGAAGTAAATTTCGAGTAAAAATTTTTTTTGGACAAGAGAAAATAATTTTTAGTTTAAACTCTTTACATTTATATAAAAATTACCGATGTTGACTCAAAATTTATTTTAACGCTTAGGGAAAGCATGTTGTCGTTTAAGACTTTTTTTAAAACTCCAATAACGACCAAAACAAATTTTTTTAAGTTTATAACTTTTAATTGGCCAGAAAGAGGACTCTCCACAGCTTCTAGAACACTTATAAAAATTTGTTTACGAAATAAAATCTTTATTTTTAAAATTTTCTTTTTTTATAATCTATAGATTTTACCACCAGGCTTAGCAAAAAAAAACATTTTTTTTCGCTCCACCCTAATATATACATATATATTTATAAATGTATATCTATACATTCCATATGTGTGTGTGCATTTCTGTTGAAAACAATTTGCCTTAATATCAGTCTTATCGAAAGTGCTTGCAAATCACAGCATCAAACTGACATTCGATTGTGCTAAGTAGTAATATTGGAGTCAATACACACACACCAACAAATCAATGCTGAACTTATTAGAATTTTGCAGAAAATTCGTGCATTTTGAACGATGTTTGTGAGTAGCAATGAAAATTACTTTCAGAGGAAATTGCCAATATGAAGTGATTATCACCAAATAGCCTTCCCAGAAAGTGGTCAGCAGGAATATTAAAAAAGGTTTATTAAAAGACATATGATTATTTGCGTTTAATAAAATATAGTAAATATAAAAAATTGAAAAATATATTGAGTAGCCAAGTAGGGTTGCTCAGTGAGTTTTTCTAAGAGGGCAGAGCAAATGTGGTCTAAAGACTTTCTTTACAGTTAGATATGCTTGCTGCTTAGACTTTTTATTCATACGTGAATTAATAATTCTTTTAGTTTTTATCAAAAATACTCTAAATGATGTGAACCAAGTCAAAAGGGTTGGCATTTAAAAACAATTTATTAACTTAATTTTGACACATTTCTTTTATTATATTCTTATTTTATTACTATTATCAAACTCATAGCTATATATGAAAATATTTTTAATTAAAATAAATATATGGCAGCCAAAAAAGGTTACCAACTGTAAAATTTGTAATATTCTAATTTTCACATATTTTGTTATTTATTATTATTGTCAAACATATCGTTATACATATGTGAAAACAACTTTATTCGAAAAAGTGAAAACTTCTACTAAAATTCAAATTTTTTATGTAATATTATTTTCAAACATATTGTTTTATGTGAAAATAATTGTATTTAAAATATATGGCCACCAAAAAGGATTACCAATAAAAAAATGTTTATTGTTTTATTTTGGAATACTTTTTTTTAATATACTACTATTGTGAAATATGGTTCTATACGTAAAAAAATAGTAGTATTTGTATATGTTAACCAACAAGGGTTGCCAACTGTAAAAATTTTAATTATATTTTTATTATAATATTGTCAAACAGAGTGTTATATGTGAAAATAATTTTATTTTAAATATATGGCAACACTGATATTTTAGTTTTTCGAAATAATATATGTAACAATCTATTTTTTTAATACTAATTATTTAAGCTTTTTAATTAATTTTAACTTTTTTAACTTATCAATAATTTAATAAATGGAAAAGTAAAAATTTAAGTCTGTAGCTAATTTTGATTTAAGAGGCAATCCTTTCGGCAACCTGATCCGTTTATAATATGGTCAAGCTGAGTTATATATATGTGAGTTTGAATCATCAAAATATGGAATTATATTTTCTTTTAAGCTCATGGCAATAATAAAATGCTTACAAATAATTTAAATTTTTTCTCTTATAAAATTATATAATAGTAAAAAAATTCTGAAGTATATAAAATAATGTAAATGTAATGCAAAAGTATAGCAACCCTCTAGTAAAGTAGCTTTTTGAAAAGTGGAAAATAAATATAAGTATTTTATTCACCTTACTTTTCAGTTCTTTTTTTTTGAAGCCGCACTTATTTTGGTTTTTATGCTTTCTTGATTGCTGGTTGGTAACCCTGCAAAAAACATAAAAATTATTTTTAAAAAAATTATATAAATTCATATTAATATATGCATATATAATATAATAATTATTAAGTTTAAAAACATGTTTGGTTTTTTATACATGGCAGCACTATCAGAAAATATTTGTGTGCTTTTTCTGCAGTTTTGCATGAAATTTGACTATATTAAAACTATTCTAGAAAGACTAATCAATAGTCTACTAAACAAGATTTTAGATTTTTATCTATTATAAAATTTTATTTTATTTCTTCAACTTTACTATTTTATTAATTTATTACACTTAATTAAATAGTTTCTGTTTAATTTAACTTTAACAATTTCCTATTCAATTGATTTTTTCACTAACCAACTGACGCAAATGTTATAGAAAATAGGAAACTTTTCTTCCGGCCCGACAATCAAGTCGCCGGTAATCGTTCATAAATACTTCTTCACTATTCGCATATCATTCGTTCTCATAACAAAACAATAATAATTTCCACATATACTTTTGCAAGAAAGTTTCTATTGTCGAGTATAAAAGTCTGCAATCAAACATCTAAAGTTGTTTATATACAAGTATAATAAAAATAATAATATATATAATATATGTATATGTATTTATGTACCGTAATTCTGTACTACATTATTTTCATACATTAGATATTGAACTTTCGTATGTCACTCATACGCCGTGGGCAACACAAATGATTGAGCTCTTTTATGTTGCTTATACGTCATGCCCTAACTTAAAGGAAAGCGCATATATTGCTCTGACAAGTTTACATTGAATGATTAGGTGAGTCCATTTAAATATATTACGAAAAAATTTATTAGAAGTTATACAAGGTGGCAACTCAAAAAATATTAAGTAAATAAAAGAAAAAAAAATTTTTTAAAGTAAAAGGTGCCAACATGGACATTTTGAACAATTTTGAAAATAGCAATATAAATTAACACTAAATATAATTACATAATTAAAATAAATAATGCAAAACATGAGTAAAAGGCGAGAACATCGATCTTTTTAAAAATAATTAAAATAGCATTGTAAAACAATATATAAAATTTATAAAGTATTACTTATACCACACTAAATTAAGTAAATGAAAAAAAGCAATTTATTAACCATCACACAATTTTTATTAAAATATTAAAAGGTGGCAATATTATTATTATATACATAAACAATAAATTAGATGATACTGAAGTAGTACTATGTAAAATGACGTAAATAATAGAAAATATAATATAAAAATAGCAAAAGCTGGCAACATCGAAAATTTTGAACAATATAAAAATAGCAAAACAATATATAAAATAGTACTCACATTAATTAAATTCCAAAAAAAATTAACAAAAGGCATAAAAAGTTTATAAAATAGTAAAAGGTGGCAGCATCAATATTTTTTAATATTATAAAAATTAAAATTATATATAAAAAGTAGTACTTACATAAAATAAAATAAAATAAATGATAGAAAAAATGTAATACGAGTTAAAAAAAGTTTATAAAATACAATAGTAAAAGGGGGCAGCATCAGCATTTTTAAAAATTATAAAAATAGCAATTTGATTTATATATTCTTTCTGTATAGAAATACGAGACCAAAAAAAGGTAAATAACTAAAAAATTAAATTATAAAATGTGGCAACATTTACAAATTTAGAAATTAGTGAACAGTCTAGTTTTGCATCTATCAGCAAGCTCTTAGTCTTAGGCTTACAGTTTTTTTATACAGTTTTTTACATTTATATTTTTATCATATTACTACATTTCTCCAAAAATTTGCTTTTAAAATACATTTAGTTCTCTTTTTCTCTCTCTCTCTCTCTCTCTCTCTCTCTCTGTGCACTCACTTAAGAAAATAGCAGAAAAACCAAACTTAAACAAAAATAAATTAAATTAAATCTCGGCAACTCAGTAGCCTGTTGGCTAAGGGCACAGTGTAGTAAACAAGAACAACAACAAGGCCAACATTAATCGTTGCCTGCAACCATTTTAAAAAACTATTTGAACTCACTTTTCCTGCCTTACTGCTTTAACTTGCCAGCTCCTTCTCTTTGTCCCTCATTCTCTGACCATCTCTTTCGCTCCCGCTCGCCCAACCGCTTAGCATCGGTTACAACTTTCAACTTCAGCCGCTCAAAAGCTCCACAAAATCGTTAAAATATGTAAACAACAAATACAACAAGCCACAGTTGTTTGCCATTGTTGTTGGCAAAAGTTTTTACTCACGTTACTGCGTTTGCTGTTGTTTGCTGTTATTATTATTGTTGTTGTTTGCTATTTGTTTGCAATTGCAAAATTGTTTCATAGTTTAATTAGTAATTTCAACATTTCAGTGCTCCATTTGGACGGTGCCAACAATTTGCCCACTTTTTTATTCTCGTTTAATTCTTTTTCTGCTCTCTCTTTTTTATTTACATGCACTCGTGCTGCCTGCCTACTTCCGCGCTACATATCCAATGAGAGCTTTTAATTCATTTTTAAAATTGGTTTACGGTCTGAGAGTGTTGAGGAAGTCCATATAGCGAAAAGTCGGGATGCTTTGAATTGAGGATAAAAATTAGAGAATATCTAATAATGGATGCGGCAAGAGTAAGGAAAGAATTTAGGCCATCAACGAGAAACATGTTGTTGCCCCAAAAACTAGTAAGTCATCGAAGATGAAATAAGTTTATACTCAATATAATTGCTCCTAAATGGGTCTCTGAATTAAGGCCAAAATTTCTCCAGTTAAAAAAAGGTATCATCAAAACTTTGCTTTTCACCATGCAGTGACTTTAGAAAGTTTAATTGGCCTTAAAAAAGTTTAATTGGCCTTTTTTGCATAGTTTCAACAGATATTAGATTCTATACTAATATTATGCAGTGAGTTTTTTGGATTTTAAAATGTACTGAAGAATAAATGACACTATTATTCTATACTCAACATATCTGATACTTAAGGACTCTATTAGTGATTAGCCTAGACCCAAATGATTAAAAAAAATATAAGACATACTTGTACTCTGTGCCCCAGAGATTTGACTCCAGTACTTTTAGGGAAAACACTTTACCTCTCCTAAAACCCATTGAGGAATAGACGATAGGTTTAGTTTAAAAATAGATGTTCACTTTTAGAAAGATGTCGAGCTCTTCTGGTGCCCTTTACGAACTACTTATAGATCGTCACACCCGCATTTGGGTATTATTCTATTCTTTTAAAGGACTTTAACGGTCTTATTAAGACTTATTTGAGTACTTCAAGGTTTGATTTCTTTTCTTTCTTAAAAAGCTGTAAGCTGTAGAGCCTGTTCTAATTTTTTTGAGGATGCTTGGCACTTGTTTAAACATTTTCATTCAATTTGAAATCAAGCTAATTTTGCTTAACAAAATTTTAAAAGTGCTGCCACCAGTTTTAATTTTTAAACAACTAAATCTATACTAATATTATAAATGCGAAAGTCCGTTTGTTTGTTAAGCTTTCACGCAAAAACTACTTAACAGATCATCATGAAATTTTGTACATATACTCTTAGAGGTGTCAGAATGAACATAGGATACTTTTTATTACAAAATTTATAAATTTTTTACGGATTATTAAAAAAATTATTTTGGAAGATTATATATGTTTGGAAAATAAATTTGAAAATTTTGAAATTGAAAAACAAAAGTTTGGCAGAAATGATTGTTTGTCGAAAAAATTAAAAATGAAAGAAAACATAAATGTATAAAAAACGTAAATCAGAGAAATAACACAAATATTATTAGTTACTCTTATTAAATATAAAAATGCCTCGAAAGCGGAAATCGGCGCTGTCAAGAAATTCTACGCCGGTGCGTAAGGCTAAAGTTACACGAAATAAAGAAAGTGAAGTTCAAGCAGAGCTGAGAAGGCAACAGCAAGCAGATCGACAACGTGTTTTGAGAGCAGCTGAAACTTCTCATCAGGCACGAGTACGTTCGAAAAGACAAGCTTAGCAGCAGGAAGCTAGAAGAGCAACGGAAACGCAAGAACAATTGCAGGCAAGAAGAATTAATGATGCAGAAGTAAGAATTACGCGTCGTCGTAATTTCATAACTAAGAATTGGAATATATATAAAATATATTCTTTATATGGATCCATATCTACTATAATGATATCAGTTATTTATTTGATGGATTCGATGCGAGCGAAGCCGCGGGTAAAAGCTAGTTATTATATAAATGGGTAACTATAATATGGGTATCAAACTTAAAGGATTTAGATTTATTATTGTCGGAGTTAATACTTTTTTAAAGGGTTGCCAGGGTTATTGAAAATTGTTGACTATTTCATAATTTTCTGTCCACTGACTGTATTTACTTGAAGAAGTACCGACAGTAAGAACTTGCTTCCTGCTTAAAATAATAACCAAATATATTCTCTTTACGCTCAGCAAATTTAGCAGTGACTGCCAACTGCCAAACACACTGGCAAAAACCTAACCTAACGTAGTTTTCTACATGCAATATTTCAATGGCATTTAAATGATTTTCTGTGCTCAAATTACTTTCACAAAAGGAGTGAAATGGAAATGCAGTTACTGTTTGTTGTCTCTGCTTTTGTAGCCATTGTTTATGCATCTACAATTTTGTTATGCCATGCATATATACACACATACAAAAAGATATATATATACATTTACATACGTATATGCATTTGCGCATATTTATGTGCAAATTGAAAAGTCATTTGCATTTGTACTGCTAATCAAGTGGAAAGTCAATAAAAAACCGGAGAAACCTTTGAAGAGTAGAATTCCATTTGGCAACACTACGACTCCTGAAATGGCCATTGTATTTCCGAGATAAAATTTTACATTAAAATCACAAATATGAGAAAAAAATGAAACTCTTGATAATTGAAAGGGTAGTGCATATGAAGTATCGTTACCGTTAGTAGTAATTAGAACTAGAATGTTGATGAGAAAATTGCAAGCACAGATTTTTAACCGAGATAGAAATTGCATATGACAATTCTGGAATGGGTGGACATGTGTGTA